CCACACCAGTGATGCTTGGTGATATGCTCTGGAGGAGACCACATACTAACATGTCTGTCCCCACAGATAGCAACTTGCAACTTGTTTGCTGCAGCAGCAAGCACTGTGTCGTGTTACCAGTCTTTGGGTTGAGTAACATCGGTAACTTGATCCTTTTCTGTTTTGTTTTTTTTTCCTCTACAAAGGCAAAATCCAAAAGATGTGCATACTCTGGCACAGCTCATCTCTGCCTATTCCCTCGTTGACCCTGAAAAAGCTAAAGTGTATCCTTTTAATGGTGGTGAAAGAGGTGTTTGGGTATTGCTTCCTTGTGTTTTAATTTGTGTGGGGACTTCAGACCCACTGTTACCGGAAGAAAGGCAAGGGACCTATCTGGAACGGCTACATATCCAGGTCAGGTTGTCTGGAGCTACATTATTTCTCTAATTGGCTTCATTACTGTGATATCTCAGGACCTTTTTATCTTTGGCCTTCTTCTCTTTGAGAATTAATAATACAAGGTTGAACCAAAAATAAGAGCACCTCCATATTTTCTGTCAGAATCTTAATCCTGTGGTAGTAATGCAGGACTGATAAAATATGGCTAAGCTCTTGCTTACCCAAAATCTGGTTTACATACTGCTTTTGTCACCTGAGCCGCTTTCACAGGAAGTGAAAGCTGTTCCCTGTGTCCCCATATTATAGAGGGAAAAATGAGGCCAGATGGCAATTAAGCAGCTCATTCCAACTTGTGTAAGAAGCTAGTGAGAGAGATGGAAATAGCCCCATAGGCCTGTCTGTCCCTGGTGTCTGCATTGCTAACACAGAATTTATTCAAGTTGAGGTCGCGTCTTGCTGTCTAGAAGAACTTGGGTGTTTATGCTGGTTTGCCTCCCTGAACTCTTCCCTTGCAGTCTTAGCAAACACTTGCCTTCCTCAGACACCATGTCACTGAAAGTAGATGTTGATGCGCTGGAGAACTCCCATGGAGCAACGTATGTGCGGAAGAAAGCTGGCAAGCTCACTGGAGACAACCAGCAGAAGGAGCAAGGGTAAAGCAGGCTGCTAAATTTTTTATTTCATTTTATTGCTATAGCTCTGGTGCGTCCTTCTTTGAGGTGTTTTAAGAGACACACTTGGTATGGTGAAGGCATAGCTGTAGAAGGCAGGCTGGTGGAAAGGGAGCCTGTCCTTTAACTGCAAGGAGCTTTTTACAGCAGCAGACCAAGTTCTTAGAGAGATGGGAATGGTTTAGCTTCTTCCAGAGCTAGTTTTTAGTTGACTTTTCTGCTGTGTCTCTGCTCTGTCACAGTATGTTGTTTTCCTTTCAGACAAGGGGAAGTGAAGAAAAAGAAGAAGAAAAAGAAGGGTAAGTTGTATTTCTTAGCTGTTGACACAGCACAGCTCCAGAGGGCTCTCAAGATTATTTCTTCAAATAGCCAGCCTCCAGGTCCCTAGGAGCTAGAGCCCTTTACTAGGACTGGGGCTCTGGGACCTGAATATTCATGACAGCTTGTTTGATTGGGGCATTTTTCCTCAGAAGTGAGAGCAACACCTTGATAGGATTATGTAGTTGCTGATCTCTTTGTGCTGCCCAGCTACTGACATCCCATGCGTGTCCCTTGGTGATGCCTCTAGTGTGTTGACCCCAATCTCATTTCCTGGCACTGGATGTTCTGCAGGAAAGCTACCAAAGAACTATGACCCCAAGGTGACTCCCGACCCTGAGCGGTGGCTTCCAATGCGAGAGCGGTCCTACTACCGTGGAAGGAAAAAGGGCAAGAAGAAGGATCAGGTTGGCAAGGGGACTCAGGGTTCAACCACAACTGGCTCCTCTGAACTGTAAGTACCCGTTTTGTAGGGATTGATGGGTGGATTCACTCCTGGGCAGCTGGGAGGGCTGTATTTGTGCTGCTTTGCTGCAGCTCTGCCACCACACCAGCTGTGGGTAGCACAAGTGACATTTTTGCTGCTGGAACCTGGTAACAGCTGCTCTCCCTGGAGATCCCTCTAAGTTCCTGAAAACCAGTGTGATAGGATAGGCATGCTTGAAGGTGCCAAGGTGCAAATAACGTTCTCATAGTCTTTTAATGTACTTTTCCTTTGGCAATGAGATGAATTTTGCATGCTTTCTCTTGAGCAATTTGCTTTCAAGTGTTTTGGCAGCTGCAGAAGCATTAGCCATGATTTGAGAAAACACTGTAGTTCCTTCTAAGCTGACACTGATTATTTGAGCTGGAATCAAGAATTACTATTAAGTATGAAGGCTGATAGCAAGATGGTGCCTTACTAGCATATGAGAGGAAGGATGCTGGGTTTGCACTGCCTAGGAGTGGGACCTGAAAGGCTTCTTGTGTGTTGCATGAGCTGTCACATGTCTATTCAAAAATTAGCCTTGCTTTCAATGTCAGGGACTTAGACCACCTAGTGAACATCAGTTAGGAGGTGATTGCTGCCCTTTGAGACATGTTCCTGTCCTCCGCCAGGTCCTTCTGTATGTTGAAGCCTATTTAAGATGTCCTTGCATGAGTGGCCTCTCATATATAATGCTTGCTACCTAATGGGGCAGCTGCTGCTTTTCACTGTCAGCTCTCTGCATTAGTACCACATAACCACATCTTGCAGATGGTTATGAACCCACACGGTGTCTTTTTCTCTTGTCTCCCTGCAGGGATGCCAGTAGAACTGCCAGCAGTCCACCTACCTCCCCTCAGCCTGGTAGCGGGGCAGCTGTATCGGCTACCAGTAACGTCATCCCTCCCAGGCACCAAAAACCTGCGGGGGCTCCAGCCACCAAGAAGAAACAGCAGCAGAAAAAGAAGAAAGGGGCTAAAGGAGGGTGGTAAAAAGCAGGATATGTAACCTCCCTCCTTCAATACGTGATGATGGTTGCAGAATAAAGATCAAAAGCAAGTGCTGGTGAAAGACTCTTTGCATCTGGATCTCTGTCCTGCCTGTCAGTGGTCTGGGGGGAGATGTACTGGTATAGATGCCATGATGTGTCTTCTCACCAAGTTCCCTTCCTCACATTTGCCCCCACTGTGACTTGGGTTGTTGCCATCAAACTCAAACATAGGCCCTAAGAAGAAATCTGTTTCCGTGTTGCCAGACATCTAAGAGATATGGGATAATCAAGAATTTCTTGAAATGTAGTTTCATGCTCTTCTGGCATATGTCAGTTTAAGCCTTTAGATTTATCTGTGCATCATGCAAGCACTGGCTTTTATGTCAGTCATTGACCATCAAAGAGCAAAGCCACAAAGCATCTTAGAAAACAACTTCTGGGCTTTATAATACAGGATAAGAGAAGCTGAAGGGGGATAACAAGACTGTTAGAAGAAAGCATGGTGAAGTGTATGGCAGTAGATTCAGTGTCTCATTTTCTGCAAGCCAGCTGCCTTATTCTAGATAGCTTTGCAAAACAAAGGTGAGCGGAATGTGTGTGGTTGTCTCAAATGCGCTTCCTCCTCCTGTGACCTTGACCTTACGTTTCTACAAGTCTTAGGTGCTGGGTTTATGAAAATAGAGTAGTACAGCAGCAGATCAGCTTAAGCTTGGTGATTCTGGAGAGGGACCCAGAACAAAAGAAATCCCAAAGAAATTATACCTTTGAGACTATAAGTGCCCACTCTGCATGCACCTTGCACATGCCGCTTGGCACAATGATTATTTTTCGTCTGGATATTTAACACCTTACTGAGATGTTTGTCTGTGCAGGAAGGCTGCTGATGGTTCTTGTTGCAGCTTTGCTGATAGTTGTCTCTGTATCTTCTGGTGCACCTGTTCACTGGCAGAGCATGGGAAAGTAAAAAAGCCCAAGAGTTAGGATAAACACATTTATCAACAATGGAAGCAACAGTTTGTTATCAATATTCTTCCTGTACTAAAGACAAAACACAGCAATATACCAGTTACTAGGAAAATTACTAAGAAAACTAATTTCAGCTATGGAGGTGTAAGTTCATGGTTTGCAGCCTGAGGCTTCAGCGAATTCAGCTACTCATTCTGAGGAAGTAAAGCTAAGCAAACAGCTTACTAAGTCATACAGAATTATAACTATGTATCTCATTCTGCTGAAAGCTTATTCATGCTAAACTACTATCTCTCAACACATTTCTTGCAACTTCTGGTTTGATCTGAATGTAGCCAAAACATTTTTCCAGACACGGACTGTCAGTGGGTAGAAATGGCACCTTGGAGAGGGTTGTCAGATGTCAGCCAAAAGGCAAAGGCTGTTGTCTCTGAAAGACTTTAAAGCAAAAGCCTTAAAAGGCAGGGATCAAGGGACATTACAAGTTACTATGGCTTAAGAAATCCTGAGTGTCCAGGGAGTAAAAATCTATGCAGAATCAATTTTTTTTACTTTGCCTGTACAGTGGGGGTATCTGAGAAGGGGGCTGAAAGTATGTTGTCTGAGAGAGACAAAGGAACAGAGCATAGAGAAAGAAAACAGTTGTATGAGTGGCTGGCAGGTACTTGCTGCCAACTGAGTGCTGAACAAAGAGTCGTGTTTTAAATTGCTTTCCTGGGTGATGTGCCTCCGCTTAGGCAGCAGCTGGTGACTACCGGAGAGAGCACTGTCCTGCAGCAATCCTGTTTGGAGGGAAGATACTGGAGAAGAACGCAGCTCTGTTCTTCAGGCCTCTTCTCTGGTCAAACCTAGCACAAACTCTGCCCTGATGGAAAGGGTGACTCGTGACACGCTGGAGCCCTGTCCCGAGTACCTGGACAGTGTCCTGACTGCTGCGCCGCAGCTGGGCGCGCAGGCAGAGGCAAGCTGGGAACAAATCCAGCGGGGATGGCAGCCGGGGCGGGAGCGGGGGCTGTGTAGCAGCGGATGTGCGGAAACTGTGGCCTCCTGTAGCAGCGAGAAGCCGCTCGTGTGTTCCCAGCCTGCCACTGGGCGCACGGCTGGCGGCAGGAGCAGCGTTCGGGGCTGCGTGGGGGTGTTCTCCGTGCGTGGTGCGGCTGCGCGGTGTCCGGTGCCCGTGGCCGGAGCAGTGCGCGCGGCCGGAACGGGGATGGGCTCCCGCCTGCGGGCCGCCGCACTCTGCGGGGCGGCCCTGGCCCTGGCGGGCGGCACAGTCGTGGCGCTCCGGGCCTGGGCCCACCTGCGGAGCCGTGTCGCGCTGCCCACCCGCTCTGTAGCCGCCACTTCCGCCGCCGATCAGGTACCGGAGCCGGGTCGCGGCGGCGGGCGAGGCCGCGGGATCGGGGAACACCCGCAGGGCCGCTCGGGTCCTCTCGGGGGGCAGCGCCGCCCCGCTCTCCTCGGGCCACCGTGACTTTGGCCCCGACGCTGCCCGGCAGCCCCGGCGGCGCTCTGGGCCGCGGTGGCCGGGCCGGGGCCGCTCTCTCCGCCTTTCTGCTCCACGATGCCGGGGCCGGCTGGTATCCCAGGGATCCCCCATCGCTGCGGCTGTGCATTTGTTTGCAGGAGCCCCGCGGGCATCTTCACCTTCACCGTGAAGGGGCTTTTGCTGTGCCCTCTAGGCCTCTTGTTCAGCCTCCTACTTTCCCCCAGCCCTGCTAAGCTTTACCCTTGCCCCGGCTTCCCGGGTAAATGTGGTGCCCCTCGCTTTGCAGGGTAAAGAGCACAGTAAGCAGATCCTGGTACTGGGCCTGGATGGGGCTGGGAAGACTAGCATTCTCCACTCTCTGGCAACTAACCACGTCAAGCGCAGCGTGGCTCCCACCGAGGGCTTCAATGCTATCTGCATCAACACCGAAGAGTTCCAGATGGAGTTTCTGGAGAGTGAGTGAACCTGTTTTAGTATTGAACATAAAATAAGTTCCTGTTTTGTGCCCTAGGGATCAGGCACATATTTTAAAAGCTCAATGTCCCCACGTGCCTGTTTTGATAATGTGAAGTTATGATTATTTTCTCCTTGGAGATTCTGCTTTCCTTCCCAGCCTTTTTGAAGGAGAAGACACATGGTGGTAGACATCGGTTTTCATTCAGCCCTGACATCCTGGGAATTCTGTTCCCAGAGAGAGATAGGTAATAAGCCTGATTGAGTGAAACCAGCAGAGGTTTCCCCAATAAGCCCTATGTTGTAGTCCGTAGCTGTTGTACTGCTTCTCCTTGGTGCTTGTGCCTGACAAAGGGCAAGAGCTACAAAGGAATAAATAATAAGTGAAAAAAGAGAGGGGAAGACAAAAACTTTGTACCCTTTCTGTTCAAAAGCCTCATAAAGTGGTGTTTTCTAGTCTTTAACAGTTTTTGAATGTATTTAGCATTTTGTTAAAATTTCTATATTGTCCTTAGCTCTGATTTTTGGGTATTGTCTGTGCCTGCAGAAAGCATCTCCTGTGATGCCTTTGCTGTGTCACAGCTGTTTGAGGTGCAGCTAGCTGATGGGAAAGGTGGAGGCCCTGGGGTCAGGTCACTCCCTGGTACAAAGAGGCTGACATCCCAGCTTCATTGATGCCTGCCTTCTGTCGAGGCAGGAGCTGCTCATTGCTTCCTGCTGTTTCTCCACTGTGCTCTACCAGTTCTTGACTGGCTCAGTAGGCAGCCAGCCCATAGATGCCTCTGTACCTTTAGCAGGTCTAAAGGAGTTGTGCTGTTCCCAGGTAAGTTTTTGGGGTGTGGGGATGAGGCCACTTAGGCAGAGTTTCATTCCCAGTCTTATTACCACAGGAATCTCTGCAGTGGCTTGGGGAAATTATCTTTAGAGAGATGCTTGTAGTCTGTGCCCCTTGCCTGGTAGGTGAGAGGGTGTCTCCTACTGGAATGTGCTTTGCCGGTGAGCCCAAAGAAATCCACAGTGTCTCTTCTCCTGCCTGGGGATGGTCTGGGCCCAGCACTGCCCAAACCACAGCAGAATCTGTTGTTTCTGAGTCGTCCTTCCCTCTCTGGTCCAGGTTGGTAGTGACTGAGATGTGATGGCTGCGATCTGACCCATGGGAAATGCAATGTCTCAGGCCAGTTTCAGCCAGGTAAATCCGTGCATGGCTCTCTAATCTGGTTACTTATCCAGTCTGTACCATTGCCTAGTCCAGGGGTTAGTAGCCTATGCTGTGATCACATGGCACGGGTGATCAGCAAATAGCAGGGGTTTTATTTTGCTGGCTTAGACAGGTGCAAAACTGTTCTTTTTCTTTGTACCAGCATACAGATAACTGGGTGGTATCTTGTCCTCTGCAGGGGTAGGAGCTCCTGGCTTCTTCTGAGTTCCTACAGGTTTGGGGGACAAAAGTATTCTCTGTGAGGTTGCTGACCCCTGGGTTATGCTATGCATGAATACACTTAACAAAGGGAGCAGTGCTGAGCCCCTACAGTATCACAGTACAGAATTGGGCTCGTGTTCCAGACATTACATGTCAGTCACAGCCCTTTGGCTCCTTTCCACAGTTGCAGACTTGCAGTTCTGCCTCCAGGTACGCTGGGCCACTTGAAGAGGCAGGCATGCTCTAGTGGGAAATGTTACTTCCCTTTCCATATTCTTGAAACTATGGAACCCTTTTAAGTGAAAACAAATTGCTTTGACACAGAACAGTCAAAGAGGGCAATAAAAGATGACTGTATAGTCAGACAATTTTGAAAAGACCCCCTGTGTAAGGCAGGAGACAGTGGTAGGGGACCCCAGATACATAGCTTTGAAAACTTGCTACTTTTGAGACTCACACATGCCTTTTGTGCACCTCAGTTCTCTCCTTGAGTGAGTGGTCCTGCAGTGTGCCTGGAGAAGACCTAGAGACCTGAAAACAAACCTGAAATACTTAATATACTGATATTTATTCCTTCTGCTATTAAACTCAGCAAACTACTGAATTCTTTGTCCCCAGATGGGAACAGCAATCTCAAACAACTTGCTGTCTATGGTTTCACTAGAGAATTATTTTAAGACCTAGTTTTGAAGGTGAACAGCTTTCTTTCCTCTGTATCCAGCGGAGAAGAGCTCATGGAGAAATGTATGCTGTACAAAGATTACTCCAAAGGGTTGCCTGAAGAGTCTGCTGGGATTTGACTTTTCTCTCTTCCTTAAGCACCTCTGGTTGTTGACAAAACTGTGGGAATTTGGAACTAGTTCCTAGAGTCATAAAAATACAGTAAGAGCCCTCCATACCTCAGAGCTAAATTTCTCCTCTGGAAATTGTAGACCTGCTTTGTCTTAAAATGAGATGGACATTTGGAGATAGGTTATATGGGAACATTTGGTGTTCATGGACACTGAACTCCCCTTCTACTCTCCTTACTTGCTTGAGAACAAGAACCAACAAGGCAGAAAGCAACTGTAAAGAAACTGAACTCAGAATCCTCTCAAAATAAGAGCTTAAAGTGGAAAGATTTTTTTTTTCCTCCAGAGCATGCACATATGCCTTCATGGGACCTGACTAGGGAAAATAAAGCTGTTTTCAGTCTCATGTACAGTAGCTCAAATACTTTGAGGTTTTGGTAATCCAAATACCTTGGGTTTTCGGCCCAGGGCCTGCTGTCTGCACCTCTGGGAGCAGTGCTGCTTGAATTATTTGGTGAATCCTGTGCTGCCATCTTCTCTTCCAGTCGGGGGCAGTGAACCTCTGCGTTCATACTGGAAGATGTATTTGCCCAAAGTGCTGTTGCTGGTCTATGTCGTGGACTCGGCTGATCATGCCCGATTGCCTATGGCAAAACAGCTGCTTCATCAACTAATCCAGAATAACTCCACCCTGCCTATCGTAGTTCTGGCCAACAAGCAGGTAAGAGTTCCCTGCTGCTGGCACAGTTTGGGCTGGCAGCAGCTTTGGAAACAGCAACAAAGCTTTTGAAAAGAGGCTTCACGCCTTTAAGGAGTGCATACAGCTGAGAGTCTTTCTGACACACCTGTTGACCACAAAACAAAATAATCTGAGGTTGTTTTGGATCTGCAAGATGCAGGTCCCATGCTTGGTGAAGATGCAATCAGAGCTGTGGGTGGAAACTGGTGTACAGTTGCAAGTTTTGGGAGCTTGAAGGAAGACCACAGTTAGATGTGAAGTTAGGTTTCTGTTCTGAGTATCTGCCTAGAAGTACCACTTTGCCTAGCAGCAGCTAAAATGTGAAGCACTATTGCTAGCCTTCAGACTGTCCAGTTGGTTGCTCCTAAGGATACTTCTCAAACCTGAGAGAAAGAGCAGCTTTCCTCACAAGGCAGTGCTTGCTCCTAAGATCTTTGTGAAACTCTCAATGATTGGTGATGTACCTGGAAAAGAATTGGGCCTCTAGTACAACGAGATGACAGAAGAGCCCAAGGGTTTTAATCACAGATTCTCTTTTATCAAGGTTGTGTGCTCAGTTTGCTCTACATTGTTACCTCCTAAATTTCTACTAACTGAGGCCCGTTACTACCAGTAATTTTTGTTACTCTTGAACACAAGTGCAGGCTTGGACTTCATCAGAATCAAATGCATCAGAAACACTGCTGGCTGAGAAGGTAGGCAGGGCATGACTGTTGTATATTTGCCCTATTCTTGTAGCTTTGCTGTGCACCTGGGGTCTTGGGCCAGCAGTGCTTTTTTCTGCCTTGTGCAGGTGGTCTTACGTAGTTATCAGAAACAGTGGAATTAGTGTAGAAATAGAAACAACTGTACCCATATTTCTTTGGGAAGAAATTAGGTTAGAGATTAACTCTTTTCTCCAAGGCATTTTGGGACATGGGAGGTGACCTCATAGAAGGTACATAGAATGGTGCCCCAGAGCCTTTGACTCTTTCCCTCCCTGGACAAAAGCAGTGGCTCAAAGTAGGAATGGTGCCAACCACCTCTTGCAACTAACAGGCTTGTTTTATTTTGGTGTAACAGGACCTCGAAGGTGCACATTGCATCACTGATATTCACGATGCTCTGGCTCTGTCTGATATTGGGGACGAGAGGAAGATGTTCTTGATTGGTACCCATGTGGCAGAAGATGGCTCTGAGATCTCTTCCGGCATGAAGGATGCCAAGGAGCTGATAGGGCAGCTGGTTTTGGAAACACAGTAACAGCTCTTTTCTTACAATATGGTGTTTGCACCTGAGGGAGAGCAGGTGTTAGTATATGATCACTTTGCTGTGTGGCAGCTGAAATGTACAGATATGCTTTCCTGGTGGGTATTGAATTCCTCTGAAAGTGATATCTAGTTGGTAAGAAAATCTCATTTATAGTGGTTTGAAAATACATTTAAGAAGTAGTCTATTTTTAGCATGTTTGTAGGAGAAAAATAGTCTCATGCAGCAGATTTAAGTGAAAATGTAGCTTAGATGGGCTAGATACCTTCATGTCAGGTGAAGCACTGAAGCACTGACTTCCATGGAAGAAAGCATCCAGCAAATTTACCATGGCTTGATGTCTCAGGTTAAAGTGAAATATGTTTATTTCACAGATTTTTTACAGAACCATTTTAACAGTGGTGTTCTGTTAAAAATGAGACCTCACTTCTTGACAGTATCAGAAATTTAAAGTGCTGCAGCTAGTATTTTTGACAGTGACAGTTCTTATTGCTGTGTTGGACCCAGTTGTTATGAGAATGGCAAATTGGTCATCTCTGGAAATTGGGTTGGTTACTGCTTCTTTAGTGGGTAAAAACAAGAAAATGAAAGCAGTAATATATTAGGTGTTTCTTTGCCTACAGGCAAAAAACCAAAATGTAGTAATTTGAGGTAGTGACTGGATGCTTTTAAGTTAAATTGGCAGCAAAGGTGGGAGACTTGTCCATCAGGTTAAGCAGCTTATTTAAGCTTAGTCCGAGATGTCCTCGAGCAAGAAGTCTTAGTTGTGAAAACCCTGTTGTTTCTTGATAGTTATTTCTGTTAGCACAGCAGGTTAGGAAGGTGACAAGTCTTTGAGGAGTGTCACTCTCCCGGTGTCCTAATTATACTCAAAGGACATGATTCAGGAGCAGTCCTGTGAAGAACCTATTTTGCACCCGCATCTATTGTACGAGGCTTTTATAGTTTTGTCCTTTGTAACAGATACATAAAGCAGAAAATTCCACCCTAACCACCGGTTCGGGCTGCTCTCTTCTCTTCCAGTTGGGGAACAAGATGTTCGGGTGCGGGAAGCTCCCGAGGCCTCTCTGGGACGGCCAGCATGACAGGGATCCTTGTGATCCGTGGGCAGAGGCTGGAGCCGTGCGGCTGCTGCCGTGGCCCGGGCTCGGGCTGCCACCGGCACCCAGTGTGTGTGCCTGGGCCCACCGCGGCCGGGCGGGGCGGGCGGAACCGTTGGGCGGGGCGGGGCCGAGCCATGGCGGCGGCCGGGAAGACCTACAGTGCGTAGGGCCGGGGCAGCTGGGCCCCAGCGGCGCCGGCATCGCGGGCCGGGGCGGCCCCTCCGCCGAGCACCGGCCCCGGCCCGGGCCCCGGCCGGCTCGGGCAGGAAGGGATCCTGGGCATGGTGGGCCGGCTGGTGCTGTCAGGCCCCGGGCACCGCGGTGGGGACTGCGGGACTCCGGCCCCGTTTCATGGCCATCGCTGCCGTCAGGGCACGTGGCTGGTTATCCTGTCATCCCGTATCCCCCACCCCCTAGTTGTTTTGTACCGGCACCGAGTCCCAGTTTAGCACAGCTGCTATTCCCCTGAGGCTCTGAAAACCTCTCCTGGAAGTTGCTGAAGGCAGTCATAAGGGGTGGCTACTGCTCCCGTCAGGCGGGAGCCCATAGGCTGGTGACCACTGGTGCTTGTGCCAGGAGGAGGATGTAGTGCTGGGGGTGCTCTATACTGCAGCCTTGGGGGCTGCCAGCATCCTCTCGTGAGAAGCAACCACTGGAGAGGAAGGTACCAGGGAAAAACAATACAAACATCTGCTGAGCAGCTGTCCTGAGGAGATGCACAGACTTCATCTGCCATATGGTTATTGCATGCTAAAGAGCAGGCGGCCCAGGCTCCAGGTGTTATCAAGCTTTTAAATTCCCCTATTCTTGTCTTTGCAGTGCCATCTTACACATCTTACACACCTGTACGCCCATGCAGCAGGTAAGAAGCCCTACCTTCCTGGCTGGGTGTTCAGGCCAATGCCCCATGTTTCTTGAGAGGTCTCAGTCAGGGATTTACACCAAACAGTGAGTCAGTATATTGGATGACACTGTGATAAACACTTGAGAGGAAATTATGCCTGGTTTTGCCCTTACCTCAGCTTCTGAAAAACATCGGACCATCCTGCCCCTTAAAAACAGAAGCTGTGACTCTGCATTACAGGGAATTGATCTTAAAAGGAGTTGATCTCCCTTAAGCAATGAGTCTGTGAAGGCTCAGACAGTGGAGGGGAGGTTTTTCTGTGTCTGGCGGAAGCAAGGCCTCATTTTTCTTGCTGGGAAGCAGAGCACACCCAAACAACAGAGGCTCCACCAGGGTTGTCTTGTCAGTAAGGTGGTTTAACCCCTTCAAATTGCAGAGCTGCTGTAGGTACATCCTGAGTGAGGATATCTGTCTGTCTAGAGCTTTTGCCATGATAAATGTAATCTTTCTTCTTGTAATTGGAAAAAGACTAAAAAAAGGTTGTCAAGTGAGTTGAGAGACATGAATTTATTTATTATTTATTTATGTATGCCTCATTCCTTCACTGGATCATGATGCAAGCTTTGTACAGTGTGGGGCACTAGGGTCATGCCCATGTTGTGCTAGATTTGGCTGTGGCTATGTGTTAGGTCTGTGCCAGTAGCTGAGGAAAAGCAATGAGCCTGCTTGCAGAGACAGTGCCAGCTCTGCAACACAGCTAGGCTGGGGGGGAACTTTCTGTGCTAATCCTTCATCCCCTTGCACCTTTGCAAGGAAAACCCTCTGGGGAACTGCTTGGAAGTAAAGAACTTGAACTGGGTTTTGGCTTCTGAAATGATGTCTGTCTTCCTGACTGTGTCCTGTCTTGGACTGGTGGCAGGGGGCCAAAGTCCTACAGGCAGTTGCCTCTGTGGGATCTCAGCAGGACTTGTGTTTGCAGCACTGCAGCCCAAGTTAGGTATGACAGGCATCTTATGCAGTGATGATGCTGTAAGAGCAGCCTGCCATTTCAGGGATCTCTGTGGTGCTGAGCTCCCTGACAAGCCTTTGCCAGGGCCTGGCATCTTACTAGCAGTATTAGTCCCATCAGAGAAACCACAGGTGTGTCCCCAAAGCACAGATTGTTTTCTGTTGGCAAGTATCTCTCTCTGCTGGTGTCCTTGCTCTTCTCTAGGGCCATGCTTCCGCATTGCCAGGTGATATGAAGCAGGGAAGCAATGCCCCAGGCTTCTACCTTCTGTGCTTTTTCCATGGTAGGGAACTTCCACAGCTGCCTGCACAGTGTGGTTGTTCACTAGCTGGCTGTGGGTAGGCACCTGTAGCTCCAGTGCGTGGGTATGGGGTTGGTTTGTGACATCAAGGAGTTGTGTAACACACCTGTGGCACTGGATCATCTTGTTCTCTCTGTACCAAGATTCATAAAGTTCAGGCACTTCCCAGTCACTGGGATTTCAGGCCTCAGCAGTGATACCTGATCTTCATGACAGGTTTTGATCTGTTGTATATTCAGTAAAAACATTTCCAGAGCTGCTCCTGGGGCAGAGACCATGTATGTTCTTGTGTCTGTATAGCATCTAGGACCTCTGTGCTAAATGGACTGAAATAAAATGTGCTCCTAAAGCCATGTGGGAACACATTGGTATCCCAATGGTGCCTTTTAGTAAACCACAACAGTGGTGATAACAGGTGTTTGTTCACCTGGCCTCCCATAGGCTGGGAGGTCATCCTTCTTGTACCTGTTCCATGGTATGTTATTGACCAAAAAAGTGTATTCCCACTCTCCTAGCCATCAGTGGAGGCAGAATTGCTAATTTGTGTCTCTGCAGTCCAAGAGAAAATACAAAAACTCATGGGCTGGTGAGTTTGCCAGATTAAATGGATGGAAAGTACTTGACAAGAGAGGATCTTAAACACACTTTCAAGGGAATGGAGGCAAATGCACAAGGGTTTGAGAGTGTTTATATGGCTTTGAGTACAGCAGTAGCTTCTTTATGGTTTGTTGGTTTAACTGTATTGTTAATGGCATGTTTGTCCTTTTCTGCAATTTTGGCAGGATACATATACTTGCAGAACCCAAGCCAGTATTTTGTGAAAGCAGTCCCAGGTAAGTAGGTGCTCAGGTGCTCAAACAGCACTTGCTCAAGGGTTGGGGACTGACAGGGCTCAGCTGGAGCAGGCCCTTGGCCATTGTCTTGCTACTCCTTTCCCCTCTGCCCTAGAAAAGCAGACTTGAGCAGGCTCCCTTCATCAGGGCTCCCTTCAATTTGCCCTTTCAAATTCTCAATCAAAAACCCGGGCTTGATTTGAGCCTTGCCTTTGTTACCCCATCTGATCTGAGCTGCCCAACTGAGATGTTGTGAGGTAGAATGGTGTGTCGTGCAAGATGACCAGACCATGGGAGCTAGGCTTTTCTGTCCTGAAAGATACAGTCCAGCTTTAGGAACAGAGTTGCTGTCTATGTGGTGTATAGCTTGACAAGCTGGGGCAACAGTCTCTTATCTGTTATCTGTATGGGTCTTGAGAAGGGCTCCACAAACCCACTGCCCTGGTGTGTGCCCTGCTGTCCCGACTACCCTGGTACCCTTTCTCACCAGGGCCTCTCAGTGAGAGATGAGTAACTCCAAATTTGCCCTGGGCACAAGAGAGTAACCATTAACCTGCTGTAAAACCTCACCCACTTTCCATGGCACACCCTGACTGTAATGTTATTACTATTTTTACTGTCATACCTGTGGTATAGTTAGGTGGTAATGGTGAGGCAAAAGAAATGCAATGATGAAACTCCTCCAGGGTTTCAGAGATGTAATGAAATTACCCCTTCTGCACATCCTCTGGTAACTAAAACCAGACCTATCACTTTAAGACCCTTTTCTTTTTAGTTGACTACAAGCAGTGTTGGGAAATTCCGTGCCACAGAAGGAGAATGCTCAGGGGGTGGTAGTGGCACTTTGCAGGTGTGGGGAACCATAGAGTGCGCACGCGTGTGTTTGTGCACGTGTGTGTGTTCCATCCTAGGCAGGGAAGGATAGCCCCAGCAAACACATTTCACACTTGTGCATGTTACTGAAATTTCACAACCTTGCTGTTCCTGCTAGGCTTGTATGGGGAGACCAAGAGACGATATGGACCCTCTCATGGGGTGCTTTGACAGCTCGACCGTCTGCAAGAATATTGTCTCTATCCAAGCCCAAGAAAGATTTTAGCAAGCACGAGTGCAGGTCAGTGATGTGGTAGCACATCCTGGGGAAGGAGGCAGCTCAGAGCATGTTCTCTAGAGGGGCATACTGGCCCCCAGGGAAAGGGGAGATGCCATCTCCTCTCCTGAAGAGGCTGCCCCGCAGGTAGCTCCATGGCACAGAAACTCACCAGCTGTTTTGTGCTTGGAACAGACGCTGTCTGAAGCAGGGAAGAAAGTGCTATGGAAGAAAGTGCTATGCTATAGTCACCCTGAGTACTTGACTTCCAAAATGGGGAGGAACTGGGGAGTGCTAAATTTTGGTGCCCTTTTATTTCCTCATACCCACTTCCCAGCTTTGAGAAGGACTTCTGCAACACATAGTTGCTGGTCTGATTACAGCTCTGAGTTCCTATCAGCTGCCCTAGAAGCTTGTCTTGATCTCGGTCTCCAAGCACAAGGGAGCATGTTCCTCTGCTTTGGTTTGAAGTAGACATATGTGCATGCATGCATTCCTTGATGGAATGTGTGTGTTGCACCTGTGAGTAGAGAGTAACTGTCTTTAGTAACTGTCCCATTGGGGCTGATGCAGCCCAGCCAGGTACCTGGACACAGCTAATGATCCCCTGCATCCTCTTGGAGTCTGACCCAAATCTTTAAGATAAGGTTAGGAACAGAGAAATCTTGCAGTGTTCTGCTTCCGGAAGGAATCCAGGTCTCTTGCCTTGAGTTAAACCTCTGGTGTCACTGCATGGTGAAAAACTAAACCATGTTTTGGAATTGGAATGAAAAATAATGTAAAAAGTATAAATGACCATGGTGCTGCATTACTTGAAGCAAGTCATCTGTAGCTCTGTTGGAGGAGATGAAACTCCTTTGGAGCCAAGATGGTGGTTGCTAGTCTGTTAGAAGTCCTAGCAATGGGAATGGAGATGAAACTGCTGCATTCCTGGCTTTCCTCTGCCTGGAGGGATGTTGAGACATGAATGCCTATAGTTTTCTCCCCTCTGCCACTATCACCAGTTATGGGCTCTCATCCTCCTGAGAGCTTCTGCCTCTTGCTAAAGGTATCCATATGACAGCCCTCCCTGCCTTCCTGCTTACCTCTGCTTACTCCTTCCCTGGTGATGACAGGCATATTCCAACAGTTATGCTTGATTGAAAGCTGGATAAACAAGGCACTAAGGGAGGTACCAAGACGAATGGAGCTACAAGGACATGAAGTGCTATCAAACCATTGTAAAAAAGAGGTTTCTAAATTGGCAGAGCTGACCAACATAAATGCTGCTGGGTTTTGTAGGGCAGCTTCTTTAAATGGTCCAGGAAAAGCCTAGAATTTGAAAGCAATGCACTGAGGGTATTTAAAAGAGGACTCTTCAGGTGCAAATGGCATTTAAAGTGAGGAAATCTCAGGTGTAAATGCATATTTGTTCATGGCTTTTCCATGTGCACCAGCTTTTGTACATGCAGCAGGCATGGGTGTTTAACCAGACTTAGGTTACCATCTTCCAGGATCATGTTCTCTGTCAGTTGCCTTTTGCTAGCTGTTCTGTGCTGTTCCTCAGAATTTTTCTTTCGGTACAGGTGCAGACCGGTAATAGGTGGGCGTCCCCCACTAACGAAGTTTGGCTACCCTTCTGAACGGCTACTGAGGTTGGCTGAACCTAAAAAATACCTCCCTGCTTACCTGGAGCAAAGGTGAGAGGCTAGAAAGCCTATAGGGTGCTGTAGGTAGAGCCGTGGGCCTTGCAGCATCAGTGCATCTTCAAAGTAACAAATGCAGGAACACAGAATGGGTAAACAGAAGGCAAAATGCAGAGCAGGGTCTCTGCTGGGATTAAAACTTCTGGATTCTCTCATGGAATGAGTTGTACACTGGAAATGGCCACAAGACAAAGCTTCTTTCTGCTGCAGCAAATGTGAGGCTTAGACATCTCAGCTGCAGCCAGAGTGGGGAACATCTGTGGCAGTGCGATGACTCTCTGCTTCCAGAGCCCGTGAGTCCCCCGAGTGGCCCGTGTCCCTTGCTGCACGGAACTATAATGCCTCCCAGCGGATACTGAAGCTTGCCCAGCCAAAGAGGCTGCACCCAGACTTCATGCCAGCCAGAGAGGTGAGGAGGAGGTTGAGATTTGGAGGGTACAGGGATGCAGCAAACTGTCCTGAATTTTTAGACCCTGTATCACAGCCCTGGATTTACCTAGTGTGTGGAGGGGAGAAGCTGTCTGGTTCTTCTGGGGTTTATGACACTGGGAGAAACTGCCTTTTCAGAGAAGAATGTTGTCTTTGCAAATCTCCTGCTGAGAGACAAAAACCAGCCAGGTTGGAGCAGCCTAGTATAGCAGGAGAGCCAAGGGAGGCATCTGGGCTGCATCCTCTGATAAAGCAGCTTGGGAATATGGAGAAACCTGATGGAAATGGCATGTTTAGCTCTTAGGGAGTAGTCATGTTTGTAGTTGGGCAGCTGTGCTCCTATCTGAGTACACAGGGAGCATAAGATTGCAAATACATGTGTAATTTAACTGCATTTTACCAGAAACCTAGTTTATATTTCTGACCTTGTTCATTTTAGATGAAGGTCATTGCTTTGGCAGGGGTGAAAGGACTTGGAGCAATCTCAGATTATACTCATTTCCATGGCAAAGGCTAGATTTTCTGGATGGAGGCTCTCGGCTTGGGAAATGGGAGGCTGGGCTGGAGCAGGACTGGGCAACAGTAACCCTGTGAAAAATTTTGGACTAAGTCCCCTGCTGGAGAAGTAATCACATTTTCTGTAGAAATGCAGTTAACTGTACCAACAAATTTATCCTGAAATCTGAGTGTCTCCTTAGCAGGGAAGTTATTTGATTTGGCCAGGAAGATGAATATAAAAAACATAGGAAAAATTTCTCTGCACTTTTACTTGGCTACATGGGCACTCATTACAGATGCTCCCCTCCTGGCTCTGAGTGGGTGACAGCTGGGGAATCCCTATAGCACCAAAATTACTTAATAGTTGAGGTGAAAGAAAAATAATGGATTCTGGAAAATTAAGAGTAGCCATGTCTGCAGAGGAAGGGTGCTGGGATGTTCATCCTTGCAGAGAGGAAGCATGTCTCTGTGGGCTGCTGTACAAGCTCTGTGTCTGCACATCCCTCCCCCATTCTGGACCCATGCAGGTGCCAACACAGGTTTCCAGCTTTGCAACCTCGGCAAATGCATCGGTGCGGGTCCAGAAACTCGCAGAGCCCTTGATCAGGGAGTTGACCTGCTGCTCTAGGCATACCCATCCTAGTTCAGTCATCTCTACGGTAAGGAAGCATCACTCTGGACCCTACATGGACGGGACTCTCGGCAGAGGAGAGGGCACAGGTGCTCAGTTGCTTTTGGCTCTCTTCATCCAGCCCTGGATATTGTTGCTGTCCATGAGGCTGGCGTAGCTGCTTCCTGAGCTGGAAAGCAGGACTTGGGCTCCATTCAGAGCATGAACTGACTCCCAGCACATGTCCCCAGAGAACAGCAGAGCTGTGCCTAGCCTGCACTTGTGACAATGGGGAGAGGTGGACAAGTGCCTAACTGGGATCTCCAGTGCTGGGGGTGGGTTGGACAAATGGCTGTGAGTAATAGGAGGCTGGAGGGCAGGTTATGGGACTGGCCAGGCAGCGATTTCTCCTTCTACAGTTTGCCTAGTGCCAAACACAGCTGAGGACAGAATCGTGTCCCATCTGCATGTAGTCAGTAACTGTGAACCTGGGAACACTGTGTTGGTTGCAGGCTGAGCGCCCTTGAATGCCAGGAGTACCTCTAAGAACCTTCCTCCCCATTCTTCTACAGGTTTCCAGGTCACCTCAGAAGGCAATTGCAAGCCCTCGGACCATTGAGCTGTCAAAGCCAAAACAACTCCATGCTAAATACTCATCCCCGCGGGATCCTGAGTGGCCTGTGACAGAGGCTGCCAAGCGTGCAGTGGCTACACCAAGAGTTCTGGAGCTAGCCCAGCCTAGCACAAGGTAGGTATGGCTTCCCTGTCACAGGGAAATCATTAGCTGCCAGCCCATTTTGTGTGGCTTATGGCCCTTGTTCATTTGTGTTTGGCCAGAGAGATTAGGCCAAGATTAGGAAGTTCTTTTCCACTTCCAAAATGCATGGATTTTATATGTCTGGATGTGTTTAATGCTACATAGATTGCAGTTTTAAAAGCCCTTTTGAGGTAGAAGGAGAGTAAAAAGAGAAGAAACAGGAACTTTCTAACTCAGCAGGCATTACTGTTTGGGATTTCTTATTAATTCCAACTATGAAAAGCAACCAACTGGCAAAGGGCAGAGTGTAATACATTTATGTTGCCCTGCATGTTGCAGCTGACCTCAGCCCAGTCTACAGGAAGTGCTGAGGAGGATGTTTTCACAGAGGGTGAGGGAATGCCTGGCTATAGTGGCTGTGAGATTTCCTTCCCCTGACGACAGCAGTGAAGGTGTGATGCCTTTTATCCTCCCTTGACAGGGAAGAGCAGGCTTAGATGGAGGTGTGGGAGCTGGCAGGCAGCTGACAGCTGGCCTTGCTCCAGTCAGGATTGACCATCCCTACCCTCTTTCTCCAGATCTCGTATGGGCTTGACTACACTCAACCCAGATGCATTCAGAGTGAAGGAGACTGCTATGAAGGCAGTTTGTTCTCCGCGGCTCCAAGAACTAGCTCGACCAATTCAGCGCTAAGCTCCCTCAGACATGCTCCTGCCATCTGCCCACATCACCCCTTGGAACATCACTCTTTCTGGGCTGTGCTGTGACTGGAAAATCTCCTTGAACACAGCGCAGAGGCAGCACTCATCAGGAACACTTTCTGGGAGTTAAATAAAATCATCATTCCTTAAGAATAATCATCAGGGAAAATTAACAGAATTCGATCTAGTGTGGGAAGACTCTCTCCCTATAGAATGGCTTATATCTGGAGTTTCTCTCTTGATTATTTTGTTGTAATAGTTTAAGAAGAAATGAAACAACTGCTGGGGGAAGGCAGCACAGGAACTGTCCTTTCATACAGGGAAGCATGGCAAACCAAACCCAAGAGCAAGCAGTAAGTTGATGCAACACAACTCCTGAATTTGGGTTTAAAATTTTTTGCTAAAGTTTAAACATCTTCTTACTGACACTCAAACAGAAGTGACAGAAGTAGAAATACGAAAGGCTACAATGTATGTTGAGTTGGCTTGGACTTGGGGCCTGTTTTCTCAAATGCCTGGAGAACAGGCAGAGCCAGTTATGTAGGTGGGTTAAAGCTCTGTGGTTCAGATACTCAGTTGTGTGACCCTGGGCAAAATAAGAAAATTCTGCACTGGGATTTTTGGAGCCTAACTCAAAAAAGCAGAGTTTCCCTCAGTGTAAGAGAGAAGGCAAGTTGCAAAGGCTAATCAGAAAATAAGTATTGATGCCAGAATCTGCAGAACAAATTCTGAGCTCCAGTCGGATCTGTGGATGAGTCAGTTTGGCAGCTGGATTGCCAGGAACAACACAGCCTGTGCAGGGCATGGCATGAGAATGCTTTTATCTACTTCCTATACGGTTAGTGTGTTTTGCACTGGCTGCCCAACCACTGGCGACAGGCTGGAGATACTGAGGCAAGAGAGATGCTCACCAGTAAGGGACAAAAGCCACAAATGAAAGCATATGGCAGTTTCAGAGCCAATATATTTTAATCTTCCCTATGTTAAGCTGATTCTCTTTTCAAAGGAGTAGAGGCAGGTGACCACAAACCAGAAGGGTATTAATGAGAGGATCCATTAATTGATTAAGTAATCCCCTATGCAGAGGACTTTTGAACAAGGTAAGGTCACTGGGCAATGGTACTGGTTATTTTTAGATCAGGCCTTGTCCTGTGCCAAGATAGATGAGAGTTTGGACTTCATCCAAGAGCCCCAGTGCAAATGCATTCCTCAGGCTTGAGAAAGGCCAGGAGGAGACTGGGGTCTCCCCCTAAAGCCCCCATGCTGTGGGGGAACCCTAGCACCACCAGCTTTTGCCACCCCAGGGATTAGGAGGTGTGTGGGCTGCCATGCATAGACACACAGGTGCCCTAGGAGATGGCTGCCTATGGCTGTCCCTGTGGCAAAGGGAAAACCCACTGTGCCCACTGAGGCTGCCTGGGAAAAATGTTGCCCTTCCAGAGAATGGAGTCTGCCTCCTGTCATGGGAGCAGGGAACACAAGCAGGGATGTAACACACAGCCCCTCTCATCAAAAACGTTGGGTTTTTATTACTGCACTGGGAAAAACCCCAAAACAACTCATGAGTTCTTTCTCTTTGGTGACCTTTAATAGAAAGATTTAAAAAGATAAAAAAGGCATTCAAAGGGTGCTTGCCTGATTATGGTGTAGGCACTTGGTTTGCCAGTATCCAGAGCTGATTCAGGCATGTTGAGCCAAACCGGGTCACCTGAACGACACACTTGGTTTTCCAGAGGTCCTGCTCTCTGGATGATCTGTACCTTAAAACTCGAACACATTGCCTCTGAGGATTGTAAGGAAAAGGAATCTTTATTTCTTCATTCTATATTTGAACATAAATCATGGCAAATTTTCTGCAAGCCTGGGATAAGGGCATGAAATTGCCTTTTCTGGTGCAGCTGCTCTTAATGGGTTGGAATCACTAGAGAGTTTATCAGCCATCAAAAGTTGTATACACACACATGTATATGTACATATATATGGGTTTTTTTCTGGTTATGTACATGTTAAATAAAATTTCTGTTAAATAGCAGAGTATTATTTTGTATCGCAAAACCTATTGCAACAGAAGAGCCCCAAGGAAACCCACTCTGAAGAGCTTCACCATGGTTTATAAGAGGCAAGGGGATTGGAGCAGCATCCTCTAGTCCCTGACAGACCCACTTTCTGAGGGCAGCCCTTCAGACTTCCTCCACTCCGCCAGGCGCTGCTTGAACCATTTCTGGAGAGAAAGAACAAAGCAGAGACTGAGTGCACTGGGCTGAGTGAAGCCTCTGAATAACTGCTAGAGGTGCAGATGTCAGCACATGAGACGAGGTGAGGGGAACTCATGGTGCTGTTGCCTTGTAGCAAGGTGCTGTTCCTAGGCAGTACAGGCAGCCAGGATGGTCGCTCCTGACTGAATGGTCTTGTAACCTACTTGTGCACCTCTTTCAAACTGATTTCACTAGCTCACTTCAGACCTTGGCAGCATGGGTGAGTCTGTTTTTTTGTTGCTGTGAGTCCAGGTTTTGCTTGCAAACACAGTAAGAAATTGGCTAAGGAGCTGGATGGTGTCTATTTACTGGAGAAGTGAAACAATCACTTGCAGGTCCAAAACTGACAGGAATCAAAAGCTCACCTGTTTCAGAAAGCATGAGAGGTACAGCACATAGGCTCTCAACAAATTTAAGAAAAAATATATTTTTAAAATTGTTTAAAAATTGTCTTAGTGTTCAGACAATATGCACATCTATGTTAGCAGTAACTTAGCATCTGGAAGCCCATTCGAAGAGCTGCTGATGCCACTTCCAAGACAGCCACAATTTAAAATATTAGATAAAATGTATCATGTTAAAGCTATACTACCTAAGAAGAAAAGTAAGAAAAGAAATATAACTTGTGTGCCGGAAGCACAGCTCAGCCTTTTGTTTGGCAATGTGCCTGTGATTCCTTTTGTTGTTGCTATATTTGTTCATGGTTATTTTTGAAGCTATTATGGTCCGTAACGATACAACTGCAGTGCTCTCTGCAAGTGTTTTTCACACTCGCACTGCCTTTGGCCACATCCAGTCTAAATGATTGACAGCCTAGCCTCCTCTCAAAAATGTCACTTTCTGTCCTAAACTATCATCTCCTCTTTGCATCTCATTGTTACTGAATTTTTTATTAAAATGGCTGCTATTTCTAGACAATAAAGCACTCCAGATATCAGGGGCGATGATTCCCTGTGTTCTACGCAGTGCAGGCACTTTGCAGCTCACCACCCTAGTCTTGTTTCTGTCCCTAACATGATCTTCATCTCCAGATGTCTAGGAGCACTCTAGATTTGTCGAAGAAGATAGCTATCAGGGAAGATTTTAAGACATCTACAGAGGTTCCCTGGGCATATAAGGCCTGTGTTTACAAGTCGCTGTAGGGAAAAAAAAAGGAACAGTGCCATTTCTATGGAGAAAAAGGTATTTTAGGGGTACTTCCTCCTTGCTGCCTCAAACAAGCAGTGATTGATACCTGCCTGTCACCAAAGCACAGTCCACTCCAGCTGAAGATTATCAGTGCAATGGATGCTTTTTCCAGCATGTTTCCCTGGGACAGGCTAAATGCTGACATTGCCAGCTCAGCTTTTATACCCTTTGACTTTCCTGAGGGAGAGCCAGGCTTGGCAGCTCTCTGCAAACTGCTGCTTACTTTCCAGTGGATTGGGTTTCTTTTCTATACTCATAAATGCTGCCATGGGTCTAGTAAACACCTGTATCACAATGAGCTGCACTGCCACCTGAAGGAACTGGGAAGAAGCCATTTGCTTCTGAAGCCCATGGTAGCCGGCAAGTAACTAGTTGGAGCACAGGGCTTGCTGGAATTCCCAGACAGTGGCAGCCTGTCCCTGTGGAGGGGTATTTGGAGGCCTCTATGTCTCCTGGAGAGGCTGACAGACTTGCTTGACATCTGGGCTTAGGGACGCTGAGACAGAGGGTGCACAGCCTGAGCATGTCCCAGAGCACATCCTGCAGGAATTGCATCTATCCTCTATCTGTTTTTAAATTACAGTAGTTTCTTCAGACCTTAAAACCAGCAATTGTTTGTACATCTAAAACTATCAGAAATGGTTTGGAAGAACAGCATGCATGAGTTGTACATTCAGGAGCAGAAACACGTGGAGTGCAGGAAGGATGTGGGGTACAGGGAGGTTCTGTGTTGCATTAGAGTTCTGTGAGTGCAGGGGGTTGTGCTGGGGGTTGCCGAGGTGCAGAGGAGACTTGTGGGTGCAGTGAGGAGTGTGCAGGGTGCACGATGATTCAGAGAGTGCAAGCAGGGAGCACAGAGGAGTGCAGGCAGTGTGGGGGGAGCATGAGAAGGGCAGGGGCTACTGTAGGAAGCCTGTGCTGGGGACAGATGGGTGCAGGTGTACGATAGAGAGATCAGGACAGGACAGGCAGATGTGGGGCACAGAGGCATGCAGAGGGAGTGGGGCTGGTGCCAGGGGTGGGATGATGGGCATACACTCACCAGAGTCTGCTCCTCGGAAAGCCCGGTCTCAGCAGCAATGAGGCACAGTGTGGTGGGGTCAGGATGCTTATTCACCTTGCAGAAGTGGTACTCCAGGATCTCCAGTTGCTCTTCAGTGGGAATCATTGGCTTTTCCATGGCCATCTCCTCCTGGGGTAGGTCTATAGGGCCAGGCACTGCAAAGAGGGGCTGGTGTCATTGCTTAAGCTGGGAGCGGCCAGTGGGGCCACACTTGCTGAGCCCCAGATTTGCCATCTGTGTCCCCACCAACCTGCACCCCCGCCCCAGCTATTGCCTCTGGATGCAGCAGGGCTCAACTCCTTTCCCAAAGACATGCCAGGGAGCTCAGCTGAGAGCACCAGCCTCCCAGCAACTCGTGTCTCAGTATCCTCACTGCAGTGACTACATGCCAGCAGTGCCCAGCACTGAGCTGTCTCACCATCCTCAGCTGGCAGGAAGCTGCAGTCTGCTCAGCAACTCCTCTGGTGCTGTATTTATAGCCAGTGTGACTCCCATGGGAACGATTCCTGTTTATAGCCGTATTTAGGTCTGGACATCCCTTAGGAGTGATGTCACAGCAATGGGCATGTTCAGGGGGTTAATTTAAAGATAGTAATTTAAAAACATTATTTATCCTCTGGGTGAAGGGACAATATCTGACAGCTAACCTAGTAGGTTGTTGGGTTTTTTTCCCCTACTTCTCAATGATCAGGCAAGTTTGTGCAAAGGAATGATAAAACAGAGCATACAAAATCTTCTGGGAGCATGGTCTTCGACCCAGCAACCATCCTATTTTCCCTCCTCAGGGTCAGTGTCCTGGTCCTTCTCTTAGCAGTATGGCTGGACATCACACAATGATGGCCATGAGAAGGTGAGCTGCATTGTTTTAAGTAATATTTAATGTTACCACATGTGAGCATAAACAGTTAGTCCTATTGTTCCTGAGCATCAGTGAGTTAGTTGGTTGGTTGGTTGGTTGGTTGGGTTTTGGTGTAAAAGTGTTCAAATCCTCGAAGACTGTACCCAGTGTATGTCTGTTGCTCAAGCACTTGCTGCCTCTGACTGTGGTCAGTCCTAGCTGCTCCCAGCAACGTCAGCACCAAGAAGCCCATGTTTTCTCCAGAATAACATTTGTTCCACTCGTGCTTTGCATAATCTCTGGAAGATTTGGCCCAGAAGAACAAGCAAAACAAGTGCATCTTGGCTAAGTCAAACACCTCTCCTCTAATGGGCTCCAGGTTTGCTTTCACATGGCAGAGGATCCAGCTTGCTAATTCAGTCAACTAAAACATGAGGCACTGCCCCCACACAGCATGCACAAGTCCCTTGATGCTGAATCACTGTGGTGTTTTTGAAACTAGGCTGTGGGGTATTGGCAGGGGAGGAGCTGGTTGCAAAAATGTGGCCTTTCTTGATCAGCTCTCCTGCTGTCCCAGTTGCCTGGCCCATCTCTGTCAGGTTGGCTGGTTGGTGTTGCTGGCTCGCCAGTGCTGCCAGGAGCCCTTGGCCCTTCTTGGGACTCCTGTGGGCCATCTGCTGCAGACCTGCCCTACCTTCACATTGCAGTCTGGCTTTTCCTTCTTCCCTTTGGCTCTGGGGTATAATCCTGGAACATCCATTATGCTGCACTCCTACTGCATAGGTTTAAACCCAACTGCTTTCTTGGTTGACTGATAATTAACTTTTATGTACCCCCAGGTATTGAATGCCTCAGGGCTTTCACTTACTGACAGAACTGCTAGGATGGAGCTCAACTTCAAAACTGTCTTGCAGCTTGTTAAGAGCCAGGCGCAGTGAGAAGCTGGAGAGATCCTCCTCTTTGAACTTTACCTCATAAAGCAAAGATGCCCCTGAGCCTCCTCTGCAGAAAGTGCTTTGACTAATAAAAGAATCCTTTGGCATTTGAGTAGGGGCTTATAAATAGACCAGGGCTGGTTGTGAAACAGCCCACTCTGCTTGAGTCACTTCGTAAATACCTATTGTAACACAGTGGTTGCATAACATTGGGGTACCTCTGAGCGCGATGGAGTGCTGGTACACAGTATCACCCACCAGCCCTGGGTGGACTGAGGAAAAACCATCTTTAACCCCAAGTACTGCAAGCCAAGCTGGCCTTGTCTGCAGAGTGTTGCAGCTACCTGGGTTTTCCTGGGGTCAGCTCAGTTCAGAAGCATCCATATAAGACGGTGGCAGTCATAATTCAGTTCCTCATTTATATGAAGTAGTAGGAGTCTGCTAAATGCTGCTCAACTACCTTAGATGTTTGCAGACCTCTGGAAAAGATGCAGGGGTCAAAGGAGGTCCCCTGGACTTGAGGTTCACTCTCCAGCACTGTGGGTGCCAGGCTCTCCATAAGGTCAAAATGCAGGTGAGGCCAAGCTCAGGCCACCAGTCCTGCCTCTCCTTTTTTCAGCACACCACTGAGCCACCTGCCCTTTTCAAAGAAGGCCAAGACACAAAGGGATCCTCATCACCTCCAGATCATGCATCTAGCTCTGGCCACTAGCAGCAACATGATTTGGTAGTTCATAAATCATTGTTTGCAGCCTGCCGCATTAATGTGCATTTATGTGTTGCATGGATTTGCATAGGGAACACACGCTTCACCTTTCATGTTTCACCTGCACAGCTCTTTCTGCTTCTCATTATTTCCAGGTTCCTGGGCATTTCCCCATAGGACACAGTATCTTCTACCTTCTGGCAGCTCAGGGTGCCCCAGAATGTGGGATGTGATGCCTGATGGCTTTTCTTTGTGTCCTCTCTACCCCTGCTCTGGAAGGAGAACAGTTTTTACCTCTCAAGGTTGTGAGATGGGTTTCAGGAAAAGGCAAAAACCCTGGGGCTCCCTGAGGGCTTTGCAAGTCTCCCCACATCACTCCACTGTGTCCTGGAGGCTTTCAGGAGCCATGTGACCCCTGTGCAGCATATGGCCTCTAGCACTTGGCACCTCCTGGGTGCTAAAAATTGGGAGTATATGACATGACTTGAGGGCACCGGAGTGCCTAAATACCCTGACTGGCCCTATTGAGACCACTAATCATCTGCCCACTACTTAAATGGAGCCTCGTTTAAGCCCAGGCATGCAGCCTGGCCTTCAGGCTGTCCAACATCTCTCCCCGGTACAGGAAAGGTGTCTCACATTTATTTAAGCCTGGATAGAAATATGGACTCACAGCTGTTAGGCTTAGCTTCTGAAAAGTGCCACTTCTCAAAACAGACATTTTCAGTGCAAGGAATGTTAGCCGTTTAGAAGTGCTGTGGAGCTGCAGTTGTCATTCAGCTGGGGTTTACTCACCCAGGCAGAAATGACAATGCCAGATACATTGTCACAGGGAAACCACTACACCTGCTCTGTCCTAAGTATCAAACTAAAGACCCCTGGGGAATTCACTCTTGGCTCTGACTGTCTTGGTTTTAGGTAGAGCAATGTGACAGCAGAAGCTTGCAAGTGATTCAGCTGTTGCCTGGGCTGTGGGCAGCTCCAGCCAGCATTGTTATGTACATTACAGCACCTGGTGCTCTTAGTGTGGCTTATAGGGCATTAAAATGCACCTCTAGGGTCATTTTGGAGTGAGAAGACAAAAGGTAATGACTGATGGACACAAGTTGCAGAAAGAGAAAGTCTTATTATAAATATATAGTACTCTGCCCATGTCCTGCGGTTGCACCTAGCTCCCCAGAAGCACCCTGGGGTTACTAGCAGTACTCCTAGCTCTGGCCTGAAATGGGGGAGGACATCTTTCTGTCTCCCAGCATGATGGCCCAGCACTGCTAGTACAGTCAGCATTTACTATCCTGGCAGAAATCTACCACTTTTCCAGAAAATACATGATCTCTGTTTGCTCAGCTTTGCTTTTTTGAACAGTTGTCACAATACCTGGCTAGCTGTGCAGCTTTCTAATGATCTTACTGCACTCAAAGCCCCTAGAAATCTCTCTGAGCAGTAGCTCCTGCCAAACCGATGAGGCTTCACAGCCTCTGTTGGGTTTCTTGACTCCTTTCCCACTGCTCCCACTGTCAGGGCTGGGATGTGACTGGAGGCATCTGCATCTGCTTCTAGCTATTTCCTTGACACTGCAGGGGATCAAAATGGCACTTATCAATGCAAACGAGCCCCCTTACTCTCCCTTGCTCTGCTGCAGAGCCATGTCCTGTCAGCCTCCTGCTGTGGGGTGGCTGTGGATAACATCAGCCAGCATGGCGCACAGGATAAGGTGGGACAGAGGCTTTAAAAATAAACCGCGCCCTGCCATAAATAAGGAAAAAACACCTGTCATGCATCCTGTAAGCTACCCGTCCAGTCTTTTAGAAGATAATATCACATGAGAACAAAGCAAACAGGAGCATAGCAGCTGCTGCAGCAGAGGCAGGACCCCGTGGTGGCCCCTGCCTGGGGTCTCTCCTGCGTGGGTGCCCTTCTGCCTGCCCCGGGCATGAGCCTTCCTGGCCTGCTGGGTGCAGCTCCGACCTCCTCAGCATCGGCACGCACGGGCAGCTCCTCCCTCCATCCCCCCATCCCCAACTGCAAACCCACCCCAGCACCCCCAGCTCACAGCCTGTGCTTACCTGGAGCTGGCAGGGAACAGAATTGCGTAAAACAAGAACCCCGCAGGTCCCTGGGTGACTGCTTAAGTATCTGTGTCTATGTTTGACAGGCGGGGACCTGAAAAACCTGTCGCAAATCACAGGAGCTCCCGGGATCCACAGCCACTCTCTGGTCTGGTAATTCAGGTTTGGCACCCGCTCCCTTTGGCAGGGCTCTGCGCGTGGTTGTGCGCGCCGCGGGCTTCTCGGTGGCCTGGCAGCCGTCGGGGCGCGTCCCGCCACGCTCGGGGCCCCAGGACGCGGCCACGGTCGGGGCCGCTTCCTGCGGGGGTACAGGAAAGATGCAGGCAGGGTGCGGCGGAAACTGCGCTTCGTACAGCGGAGCTCCAGGCGAGCCAGCCCGTCCCTCTCGGCCGGGCTGCATCCCGCTGCGCCGCTGTAAGGAACCCACCTCTCCCACCTTTGTTGATGGAGCCCGGCAGCGCTCGCTGCTGTGCAGGGCTGGATTCTCGTCTTGCTTTAGTGTTTTGCAAATTATGTGTCCAGGTTTAACATTCCTGAGCCTGCTGTCACTTTAGTCAGCCCTGTGTTCCCGCCAGGTTAGGTATAAGGGCAGGACTGGGTCCTGGATCTGTCCTGCTGCTGCAGCTCAAGTGCCCTCAGAGGCACAGCCTGGCTGGAGATGAGGAGGAAAGCAAGGCGTCCTCCTCTGCCAAAGACCTCTCTATTAAAGTGCCCGGGAGCCTGCAGTTCCCAGTGGAGTGGTCTGGAAGCATTAGACAGGAGCTTAAAAAGAGGCATCTTGTGGGGTGGAGTACAGTGGGGAGGGGCTGATTTTTCTCTCAGTTTATAGACAGCTGGAAGGGGATAATGGAAAATCAGAGCGGCTGAAGAAAGGGCTCATGAAAAATATAGTACGGTTTGGGTACGGTTTGCAGTGGCTGAGATCATCTGCCAGAGCAAAACTCAAACTGGCACAGAATGCAAAAGCTGTGGAGCTGGCTGGAGCCAAAGGCAGAGAGCCCTGACCCTGGGGACAAACTCTGGCAAGAAACCCGCCATAGGTTTAGCAGTGAGCCAAGACCATCCTGAAGGGGTGGGCCAAGGCGAAGGGATTGCAAAGAGATCTGTGCCAAAGGACAGGCAGACGTGTGCCAGTTTTCCTTGCAGGATGACATTGATCAAGCAAGATCAGGGTATAGTTTCACTGCCTGATAAAGCAAATGATGCTGTTCAGTGGCTGCCAGAGAGTTTTTGGGGGAAGACTTGATCCTGCATGCCTTGGGCATGCACCTGGCCAAAGGAATATGTCCTGTTTATCACTGGTGCTAAGCAACAGGAGCACGGGTAGCAGTGGTGCACACAAGCAGATTGGACGATGTGTCTGGGGGGATCACTCCAGAAGCCGTGGCTGGGAGCATCAGGGTACATTCAAGGGGGCTGGAGCAGACCCCTGCAGCAGGACTCAGTCTTGAATTTCAACCCCAGTGTGGGAAGGTCCAGGCAGAGGTCCTGAAATGCATACTGACATGTGCTTGGGGGAGCTCTCAGGGATATTGCTACTTATCTGCCCCATGTCTGTGCTTTGCTCTGGCATCTGATCTTGGCCAGTCTTGGTGACAGGACAGATGGGAAAATATTCTGGTCCAAAAAAGATTTTCTTATGTTTATATGCTGTCTTTTTTTTTCCTTCCATGCATGTGCCCCAAGCTTTGCAAAATGTGAGTAACCTGGCCCACAGGAACAGGATGGGCTCATCTCTTCCCTTATTACTGTCAACAGGGAGAAAGCCTTTAACATGGAAAAACCCTTTTCTCTTAGTCTGTGAACCCAGCCCAGACTTGCACTGGGAGCACTGGCAGTGACGTGCTTCAGGCTAAGATACCCCATTGAAATGGTTTCAGAAGTGCTGGGAGTCCTGCAGTGACAGTGTGAAAGTCATGTCACTAATCTGTTCACGTCTGGCTGGCACATGTTAATGCTTTTCTGACCTTTTCTAAAATCTTTTAGGCCCATTTCTCCTCCTGGGAGAGGGTTGAAGTACTGCTGAACTTATGCCTCACCTTATATGAAGAGATCCTGTCCTCAGAGGATGTCCTTTATCAGCAGAATTAGATTAAATAGAAACAAAATGAAGGGTGCATCCAGACCCATCACAGAGACTTTTTTCCTATTGAGAAGTACAGCTGATGCGATGTGCATTTGACAATTTTGCATAATACTGTGGCATTGCCGGGAGGGATTGGCAGCTGCAGCCTGCATTCAGTACCCTGCTCCTCTGGACCCCTCTTGCAGAGGCTTGAATAATCATCCATATTGCTCCATGGCAAGATATTGGCTGAAGTCACATTTGGGGGGAAGGTGGGGTGGGCATTCAACACACAGCTCATGCCCATCCTGGCCCAGTTGTTGTTCCTTTAACAATGCATGGAGACAGAAGGGAAAAAAACATGGAAAGAAGAGGGGGAAGCAACTTGTCAAGCCATCAGGATAGAATGGGATATAACACAGCTTGTCTGACTTGCTCATATTCCCTCCTTTTCATGCATGTGTCTCTCTTGAATCCTGCCATGTTTTCTTTCCTGAAAACGAGACTTAGCACCAGCACCCCTCGTCTGGGGATTAAGTAGAGATTTTTTTTTTCCTTTTTCTGAGTATGTGAATTTAAAAATATGTGCTTTCCAGACTCCACCCCAATCCAAGTGTCAGAGAGAGCGCAAAAGCTTCCTTTCTCCCTCTGAACATCCCAATGCAAAGAAAAACCTCAAAAGCCATCTTCTGTTTTGTTTACCAGTGTTTTTTGTTCTTTTGATGTGCTGGGGTTTCTGGCCTCTAATCCAAAAAAAATGTGGCTGGAAACAACACAATATTTTGGCTTCCATTCAGTTAGAGTTTTCTAACTAGCCAGTACTGACTCATAGGACAACTCTTGCAGCTAACCAGATGAGACTTCCACCTCCATACTCCACTTACCCCATAACAACATAAGAGATTGGTTGTTCTTCAGGGTGCACTGGCAATTGCCTTTATTGGACATCCCAACACACAAGAACCTGAGTCATTGTTCTTTTGATCAGTTTTTTCCCTAGGAGAGCAGCAACAGTGGTTGCACCCTGTTGGAGAAGATGAAACTGGAAAACCTTATAAATGTGATTGCCTGGCAAAAGATGTTGAGAATATGGAAACTACAAGTGAGATTGAAATGAAAGCTATCTTTGAGATACCAAACTTTAGTTACTGAACAACTAGAAAACAATAGTATGGCCAGCTGAAAGTAATCTCTTGATTAAAAAATCCCCTCTACTTGCAGACAGATCTAAAGGGCAGAGAAGACCCTACTAGCTTGGTAAAGAGGGTCCAAAGAGTAGTTTTTAGGGTTTAAAGTGTAACACAGTATGGTAATGTAGTGATTTTTATAGGCTGTATGTAAATGCTTTAGGATTTGTATCTTAGATTGGTTAGTGAAAATTAAAATATTTAACACAGAAGATTTATTGTATTGTAAGGGGAATCTCGCTCTCTTACTTTTTTTACTTTACTCTCTTACCTCTCTTGCCACTTTTACTTCTCTTACTTTTACTCTTTTACTTCTTACCTCTTATCCCTTGCTCTCTCTTTACTCTTTTTACTTTTGCCTTCCTGCTCTTACGGGCCTGCTCCGAGCTGCATCTGGCAGCTCCAAGCAGGGCCTTTTACCCATGCCTTATGCAATAAAGTACAAGTTCCAACACCTGGCTTTAGAGATCTCTCTGTCAGTCCCAACCGTCCAGACCTGCAACTCCTACGGCACTCCAAGAGTCAGCAGCACACAGTGCTTATCCAGACCATGCCCTGGGCAGAGGGAAGAGGAGGTGGGCACAGGTGGCTCTTTGCTGCTGGAGCAGAGCTGCTGGCCTGGGCTCAGCAACTGCCTCTTCTGCTCTCTCCTTCATGCATTTTCCTTTGTTTTTAGTGGGCCGGGTTCAACCTGTCTCTCCTCAGCAGTAGAACAGATCCAGGCCAGACAGATACTAATCATATGTGACTTCCAATAAGATCCCTACCTTTACTTTGTCAGTGGGATACAGTTGTGTGGATAGAAACTGCAGTGTTTTATTATTCCTCCCATTGTTCCAGTACTTCTCAGAGAACAGTGTCATCTCATTGGTATTTCTATGTGCAATCTCTGCCTGGGGTATAGTCTTCTTCCCTACTCTCACTCTTACTAACCAGATTGTTTTGAAGTGACTAAACAGGGAGTTCATACGTGCAGTTCCTTGCTGGGAGGATTTTCAGCAGTGCTGCCATAGCTTGTAGGCACAACATGCTGCAGCACGCAGACAGCTGGCAGGGCATTATCACACGTGGGAGCTGCTGCCATGCCCAGCCCAGGAAAACATGGGCTGTGGGACAGGTGAGAGGCAGCAGGACAGAGTAGACCTGTAGATCCACTCTCTACCCTGAGAGTGCCAGGGGATGTACAAGGGTGCGAGTGCCCTTTCACAGAGTTGGATGGCTGTGCATTTTCTAGGGAGCAAGTCAGGGAGATGGGAGGCTGGAAAATGTCTGCTGAAATCTGTTCTGTTCTGAATATCTCGGCTGAAGCTGCCTGCTGTTGGAGGTCCTGACTCAAATACTTCAGTGATCAAATACTTTAAGTCAAATACTTCAAAGTCAATGAAGGGACCTTATCCCTCCCTAGAGCAGGGACGAGCTCTGTTCAAACACTTGCCTGCTATCAACATGGCCCTCTTAGGTGCAGCAGGAATGCTATCCTGAAGACTGACTTCGAGGATCTCAGCAGGGCAAGCAGGGGTGCTGACCATCCCAGACTTTCCTCAGTCTTCACCATGAGGGATAAGGACCATGTTTTCCCCTGTGCTGTCCCCACGCCAGGGACCCCACAAGTGCCTGGCTCTTGTGCCCACCTCATGGCAGCAGTGCCATGCAGCTGGCAGCCTGTGGTTTCTGTTAGACCAGTTTGGGCAGGCAACTGTGGAGAGCTGGCTCTGGTGCCACCAGCTGCTGGAGCATTGCGACAGATGATGAGCAGGATGGGTTATCTCTGTGTGACAAACACCACAGCCCCTGTGGCATCTGTGGTGCCCTGTGACACTGGCAGACAACTAGAATGACTTGCAGAGTGACAGTGAACAGGGAAGGAATGTAATGGAGACTCTGCTCCACCTGCTGAGTGTCAGGGAGTG